CAGCTGCCGGTCCCTAAACGCATTGAATTAGTAAGATCAGCGAAGGTTTGCTACAACTGCTTGCGTTCTCATAGAGACAGGCCTTGTAAATTCTCGAGCTGCTCGATATGCCAAAAACGTCACAATACGTTATTGCACCTCGACAATTGCAAGTCCGTCGACAAATCTGAGACGGCGCAATCCGCGACTACTACTTCACAATGACTATCCGATCAGGCCACGCGAAAAACTACAAGTCTAGCCGCGATATCGCATAACGTTACTTCGCAATTATTAACGAGCGCGTTGATATACGTCCACGACAATAAGAACGAACTCATTCGATGTCGCGCCCTGTTAGATACATGTGCATCCGCGAACTTCATATCCGAATCCTTATTAAAACGTTTAGGTGTGCCCGCAATCGCGCACCCATGTCCGATCAGTGCGATTAATACCATGAGCACTGAATCGAAGAGTATGGTACAAATAACAATACAGTCAATGCGCGGCAGTTTTCGTAAACAATTAACATGTCTGTCTATTCCGGCTATCGCGGATTTAATACCATCCGATATATTTCCGCGAGACACCATAAAAATACCCGCGAACATCAAGCTGGCGGATCCGGATTTCCATTTACCACGTCCAGTCGATCTTTTAATCGGTTCCGGATCGACATTGTCGTTATTCTCCGTGGGTCAAATTAACTTGTCACATAATGCTCATGATCTGTATTTACAAAAGACGCGATTGGGTTGGGTGATTGCGGGTAGCGCATCGGAACGAACTTCTTCCAAATCTATATCGTGTGGCCTGACCAATTTAGAAAAACAGCTAACGAAATTTTGGACAATCGAAGAGGTCACTATTGACCAACCGAAATCATATGAAGAGATCGAATGCGAATCACATTTCGTAAAAAATGTATGTCGCGATACCGGCGGCCGTTACATAGTCCGACTTCCGTTTCGCGAACCAAGCAAACGTCTCGGTGAGTCATATGACATTGCTCTCAAAAGGTTGCTATCTCTAGAACGTAAACTTAACAAAAACGCGACTTTGGGCGCCGAGTACGCGCGAGTCATTGACGAATATTTAGAACTGGGTCATATGTCTCGAATAGACCATACCGGAGATGGATTTTATATGCCTCACCACGCTGTAATAAAGGACTCGAGTCATACCACTAAGGTCCGAGTAGTCTTCGACGCATCTGCGAAATCATCTAACGGAATATCGCTAAATGATATCTTAATGGTAGGGCCCACAATACAAAGTAAATTGTTCGCACATTTAATTCGGTTTCGTTCATATAATTATGTGATATCGGCGGATATCGAAAAAATGTATCGTCAAATACTATTGCATGAAGACGATCGGCGATATCAGCGAATTCTATGGCGGAGGGATGACAAGGTAGTGACGTTTCAATTAAATACGCTCACATTCGGCGTTGCTTCTTCACCATTCCTCGCCATTCGCACTTTAAAGCAACTGGCGGACGATGAGCGACAAGAGTTCCCCAGAGCGGCCGAAATTCTTAAGAATCATGTATACGTAGATGATTTATTAACGGGTGCTGAAACTATCAAAGACGCTCGAATGATTAGGGATGAAATAACCGCATTGTTAGCGCGGGGTGGTTTTACCATTCGACAGTGGGCGTCTAATGATACGCGGGTGATTGAGGATTTAGCCGACAACGCGTTACACGCGAACTTAACGTTTAATAGCGATTGTTCTTTACAAGCATTGGGGGTATCGTGGAACACGCGTAACGATAGATTATGTATCGCAGTACATTCGATCGAAAATTCGGAACCGTTAACAAAACGGAGTATCTTATCGAGCATTGCTAAAATTTTCGATCCGCTGGGATTATTGGGTCCAGTGGTGTTACATGCTAAACGACTAATACAGGACGTTTGGAAGTGCGGAACGCATTGGGATGAATCTGTTCCGCAGAGTATCCATACAGAATGGTCGGAATTCACCCGACAATTAGGCTCACTGCGCCAGGTTTCATTTGATCGAAGATTATTAGTAGAGAATCGAAAGAACATTGAAATACACGGATTTTGCGACGCGAGCGAAGTCGGATACGGAGCGTGTTTGTATATTCGATCGACGGGAGGAAGCAGCGGTATTATCAGTAAATTGTTATGTGCCAAGTCAAGGGTCGCCCCGGTAAAACCTGTTACCATACCGCGCCTCGAACTTTGCGGCGCGTTATTGTTAGCAAGGTTACATCGCGAAGTTAGTCACGCGCTAAAGTTCGTGCCCGATAGAACGATTTTTTGGTGCGATTCAACCATCGTAATACATTGGTTGAAGACGTCGCCTCATCGACTTAAAACTTACGTGGCGAATCGTGTCGTCGAAGTACAAGAGTTAACCAAGTCGATTGAGTGGCGACATGTTAGATCGGAAGACAATCCGGCCGACGCGATCTCAAGGGGTCAACTACCTCACGCCTTTTTGCAAAATAAAATATGGCATACCGGACCTTCGTGGTTAATCAGAAACGAGAATGAGTGGCCCGGCACCGATACTCAAATGATTGACATACCCGAATTAAAGGGGAACACTTGCTTGATGACGGCCTTTAAGGATCTCGATATACTTAAAAAATATTCTTCATATTCGAAGTTATGTAGAATTGTTGCCTACTGTTTCCGATGGCGTCCCGCTAACAAATACGCCGGGTCATTGTGCGCAAAGGAAATTGATGAAGCTGAAGGTCGCGTATTAAAGGTCCTTCAAACATCAGAATTCGCTGACGAAATAAAACTTCTTCAAGCCAAGCATTCGATGTCCAAAGGTAAATTCGCGACCTTGAATCCGTTCTTGGATGAAGGCGGCTTAATTCGCGTTGGAGGACGCCTCCAAATGTCAAACTTAACGTTTTCACAAAAACATCCGATATTACTTCCAAGTCGGAATCACGTAACTGATCTAATTATACGCGAAATGCATGAAAACCTTTATCACGCGGGTATTCAAACCACATTATATACTTTGCGACAGAAATTCTGGTTATTGGATGGTCGAAATCAAGTGAGAAAAATAATACGTACATGCACGCGATGTCTGAGATTCGCCGCCCCTACGGTCGAGTACAAAATGGGAAATCTGCCTCCTGCTCGAGTGTGCGAGGCAGTACCATTCGCTAATACCGGGATCGATTTTGTGGTCCATTCTACGTCAAAGAGAAAAAATTTCGGAATCGCGCGCGAGTTAAGGTTTATATATGTGTGTTTGTATGTATGTCCATAAAGGCGGTTCACCTTGAGGTCGTGAGCGATTTGTCTTCCGACGGTTTCCTTGCAGCGTTGCGACGATTCATCGCGAGACGAGGCAGACCAGAACACATATACTCGGATAACGGGACTAATTTTGTAGGCGCGAACAATCAGTTAAAGGAAATGTATGCCCTGTTAAACTCAAACGAACATAAAAAACTCGTAACCAAATATTCAAATGAACAGCGCATTGTCTGGCATTTCATACCTCCGATGGCTCCCCACTTCGGTGGATTATGGGAGTCAACAGTGAAACTGTTTAAACATCATGTCAAACGTGTCGTAGGTGAATCATTGTTTACCTTCGAAGAATTCAATACATTCGCGATTGAAATTGAAGGGATTCTAAATTCGAGACCAATCACCTCTCTCTCGTCAGATCCGAATGACATACTGGTACTGACACCGGCCCACTACCTCATTGGCAAACCCATAACAACCCTCCCAGAGGGTAATGTGCTATCTGTTCCAGCCAATCGATTATCCACTTGGCAACATATCACAAAGGTGCGACAGGATTTTTGGGCTCGTTGGAATCTGGAGTACTTAAACGAACTCCAGAAACGCACCAAGTGGATCAAAGATGGTCCAACAGTCGATGTCGGAACAGTGGTTCTGCTTAAAGAAAAACACCTGCCTTGCACTCAATGGGCACTGGGCCGAGTTACCAAATTACATCCAGGCAAAGATGGGATTACCAGAGCAGTTACCATGAAAACCGCATCTGGAGAGACGAAGAGAACCGTCAACCATCTCTGCCCCCTCCCGATTGATAAATAGCCATATTTGTAGTCATATTGGTCATATTTGTACAAGCGATAATTACCACATGTATCATAACAAATGTCTCAACTCGAAGCGATACAACAAATGTCTCATCTCGAAGCGATATAACGATGCGTAATTCGTCGACGAATTTATACCAGGAGTACTCCATTATATATCTTGCGCACAACACACATACGAATCTGATCACTAATCTATAGGATAGTTGATCGCTACCCTCTCAACGGGGGGAGGATG